TGAATACGTTGAACGCTGTCAGAATTATTCAAATCCATAACTTCGGCGTCCAAAAATCCGATCATTTTATTATATTCTACAAGATTTATTCTTTTAGACACGAAAAGACTCGTGTGACCTATTATTGCGAGCCTTTTAAATATTCAAAAAGATATGTGATCGAATAATATTTCTTTAGTTTAATACAGTTAAATATTGTAATGCCACAATACCATAGCATATCGTTATCCTTTAATAATATGATCGAAGCAAGGGTGTATGTCTGTAATGCAATTGATGGGCCGTGATTACACCGCCTAGCTGGTCCGGTTGCCAAAGGAAAAGGCTAGATGATTAGATATAAATTCAGTAAATATTAACCGAAATATACACAATCAAAATCAACCCTTTAAATCAAACCTCGTCTAAATACTTGTTGACAGGGCGTCCGAAATCGTCCGTTATGAACGTATATCCGCCCACCGTTTCATAGTTATTGGTTTTTATTGCTTTTTCTTTACGTTTAGCCTTTAATAAAAGGAAATTAAATCGACAATGACAATCAAAATTGCAAATCGTCTCATGGATTGATAACATATTACCTTTACTATTATGTCTTTGTTTTCCGGTGAATTTATGTTATCTAACACTATGAAAACCTAGCCAGAATAATCACCTAATTAGATCTTGTTTTTACAGTGTATTCGCATTTCGATGTCGCATGGGTTAAAAGCGTAGTCACTTGAATAAAGTCCTCTTCCCAACTCACATTGTGATTCCCTTCATACAGATTCCTCAAATTAATTGGATTTTGACTGTCCAACACGTACACAATCAAATTAGGATGTTTTGAAAAATCAAAAAAATCTGCTGAGATCAATGTCTCCTCCAATATATTAAACCGTCTTTTTTTTTGTCTACATATATTCCCTGAAATATTAAAATAAATCAATGTATTTACCGATTTTGCAAGAGGACTTGGCTGCCTATCTCTTATATCTAAATCTTCTGTGTTTCTAACTGGCTTAATACTCCATATTATATGTTTCAGGTAAAATAGTTTCTATTAATGAATATATATGGTTATTTTATCAACGAAAAATAGGCCAGTTATAAATAAACAGGCATAAGCAAAAATTCGGCAAACCTTGAATATTTCAGCAGCACATATTGCATCCACATCT